GTTGAATGAACTACATGAGTCATCTTAGAAGCATCAGCTGCTACTTAAGGTTGAATGAACAATGCGAGTCATCTTAGAAGCATCAGCTGCCACTTAAGGTTGAATGAACTACATGAGTCATCTTAGAAGCATCAGCTGCCACTTAAGGTTGAATGAACTACATGAGTCATCTTAGAAGCATCAGCTGCTACTTAAGGTTGAATGAACAATGTGAGTCATCTTAGAAGCATCAGCTGCCACTTAAGGTTGAATGAACTACACGAGTCATCTTAGAAGCATCAGCTGCTACTTAAGGTTGAATGAACAATGTGAGTCATCTTAGAAGCATCAGCTGCCACTTAAGGTTGAATGAACTATGTGAGTCATCTTAGAAGCATCAGCTGCCACTTAAGGTTGAATGAACTATGTGAGTCCTCTTCAAAGCATCAGCTGCCACTTAAGGTTGAATGAACTATGCGAGTCATCTTAGAGGCATCAGCTGCAACTTAAGGTTGAATGAACTATGGGAGTCATCTTAGAAGCATCAGCTGCCACTAAAAGTTGAACTTCATGAATCATCTTCGAAGCATCAGCTGCCACTAAAAGTTGAACTTCATGAGTCATCTTAGAAGCTTCAGCTGCCACTTAAGGTTGAATGAACTATGTAAGTCATCTTAGAGGCATCAGCTACCACCTAAAGTTGAACTTCATGAGTCATCTTAGAAGCATCAGCTGCCACTAAAAGTTGAACTTCATGAGTCATCTTTGAAGTATCAGCTGCCACTAAAAGTTGAACTTCATGAGTCATCTTAGAAGCTTCAGCTGCCACTAAAAGTTGAACTTCATGAGTCATCTTAGAAGCTTCAGCTGCCACTTAAGGTTGAATGAAATATGTAAGTCATCTTAGAGGCATCAGCTGCAATTTAAGATTGAATGAACTATGCGAGTCATCTTCGAAGCATCAGCTGCCACTAAAAGTTGAACTTCATGAGTAATCTTAGAAGCATCAGCTGCCACTTAAAGTTGAACTTCATGAGTCATCTTAGAAGCATCAGCTGCCACTAAAAGTTGAACTTCATGAGTCATCTTAGAAGCATCAGCTGCCACTAAAAGTTGAACTGCATGAGTCATCTTAGAAGCATCAGCTGCCACTAAAAGTTGAACTGTGAGTCATCTTCGAAGCATCAGCTGCCACTAAAAGTTGAACTGTGAGTCGGTGCAGCGAAGAATGACAAAAATGATTCCGGGACTTAGAAACCTTCCATATCAGGATAGGTTAAAGAAACTTAACTTGCATTCCCTAGAAAGACGAAGAGTGTGCGGAGATATGATAGAAGTATTTAAGTGGGTGAAAGGAATCAATAAAGGGGATATAGATAAAGTTCTTATAATATCCGAGCAGGATAGGACTCGGAGCAACGGATTCAAGTTGGATAAGTTTAGGTTTAGGAGGGAGATAGGAAGAAACTGGTTCACAAATAGGGTGGTGGACGAGTGGAACAAGCTTAGCAACTTTGTAGTAAGTGCGGGAATTCTGGAAAGTTTCAAAAGGAGGCTAGATAGATTCATGGATGATAGAGAGTGGTAATAACTCTCGACAGGAGCTGCCATGCACAGGCCAACCGGCCTATTGCAGACTCCTTATGTTCTTATGTTCTTATGTTCATCAGCTGCCACTAAAAGTTGAACTGCACGAGTCATCTTAGAAGCATCAGCTGCCACTAAAAGTTGAACTGTGAGTCATCTTCGAAGCATCAGCTGCCACTAAAAGTTGAACTATGTGAGTCATCTTCGAAGCATCAGCTGCCACTAAAAGTTGAACCATGTGAGTCATCTTTGAAGCATCAGCTGCCACTAAATGTTGAACTGCATCATCTTCGAAGCATCAGCTGCCACTAAAAGTTGAACTACATGAGTCATCTTACAGGCACATCAGCTGCCACTTAAAGTTGAACTTCATGAGTCATCTTCGAAGCATCAGCTGCCACTAAAAGTTGAACTGTATGAGTCATCTTAGATGCATTAGTTGCCACTTAAAGTTGAACTGCACGAGTCATCTTAGAGGCATCAGCTGCGAAATAAGGTTGAACATTAAATAATAATTTTACTGCACTAGCCATGTGCTCTGCAACCCTTAATGTTGGGTTCATTTGAAACCATCATTTCACCGAGTCAACCTTCTATCCCAACCAACTGTGTAAAGTGAATGCAGTTGTCACTTGTCTGTGTGTTGTTACCTCTTGAGCCAATTGTAACCCCTCATCCTTTTAATCACTCTGCACAGGATTTTGCTGTATTCACACAGTCCTAAGCTTAAGTAATAGTGATAGTCATTTAAGTATTATTTTATAAGAGTATTTACAATTGCCTAATGACCCATTTTAATGTTAGCTGGCATGCTATGCAAGACTACCTAACCCAGCACAATGCCAAGTGACACCTTTAACTTTACAGTTTGACGCTTGGCCTGTTGCATCATAATCCTTACTTTTCTAGAACTTAGTGTCTGTCCTAAGGCTCTTCAGGAGATTCCATAGTCATTTTACTGGACTAATGATAACAATAGACATCTTGCGACTAGTGTCCATTATTCTCCCTCTTGGTGTAGTGCGATCCTGTATACTGGGACCTACTGTATGTGGGGCAGATGCTTTTTTCAAAAATGTAAAAGTTTGCTTTGCTGAAAATTTTATGTTCTTTTTTAACTGAATACACGTCGAGGTAGTATGGCAGTGGTCTGAAGTTGCTAATAAACGTTAATTTCACTATATAGACTACTGCACTATGAAACTAATGGGTTATATTTTTGACACTCTAATTTGTAAATTGTATTACATATATCTTTCTCCTCAAAATGCCAAGTCCTCCACACGTAATATAATAATACAAGTAATACCCTTTCATAGTGTTCCTTCTAATTCAGGTACAGTATTAGGCTTATGTATCCAGATAGTCTTCCACTTCTGAGTCAATACTGGTTCTGAATAGGGTGGAAAAGAGTGGTTGTACTACAGTAACTGCTGTATCACCAACCTCTCTCAGTCTTAAATTGCAGACCTCAGTTTCCCAGACTCCTCCTGAAGGCTTTGGTCACAACAAGAATTTCACTATTTGTTTAAAGTAGTTCCAGGTGTTTTTGTTGAGGGTTTCTTTTGGGGTTGCAATCCAGACACGCCGCGCCATTTTTTACTCACGCAGTCCATTCTTGACCATTCGCGGTGAGGGGTGCGCATTAGGTTGCTCTTACGTTATCGCTGACGTCATATGACGTATAGGACTGTGATTGGGCCACGCATCTTTACCACCCACACATTCCCTTCGCCGCTAGCTGTGATTGGTCTAATGTAACATGACGTGCCCTGCCACCAGAAGCCGCTGACCTAGCCGGGCCAGTCTCATTGTTCTCAGTCCGCGTATACAGTTCTCTCTTGTGCCCGCCATTCCCCTCACAATAACTTCTGCTGGACCCCCACCACCCCAGAAAACCTTGAATTACCTGGACCAAGCCATGATTATGTGAAGGAAATCATCGAGTTGGGGGAGAAAATTAAGCTCATCCTTGACAAAGACCCAGTCAAGCATCGGTATGAAAAGTGTAATAACCATCTGTCGAAAGTTATGGAGCTGTATGTCCAGATCTATCACGACAACATCAATGCTAGTCGTCAACGTAGTATTAAGGACTTCTTCGCCCGCAACCCACCACAACCACAGCCAGCCCAAGTCAGTGGTAGTGACAGTGAGGATATGGACTTTGAGGGGTTTGTCAGGGAGGCCCTGCAAGCCTCTGCGAGTAGTGAAAGTGATTCACCGGAGGGCCACTAATCTGCCCTCTGCCTCGGAACCAGCCACCATCCATTTGTGCCGACCCATCTCTTCTACTAACGTAAGTGTTAAGCACCTTTAGATTTGTAGTTTTTTATTTAGATATTATGTGTGTATCAATACCGTCATAAAATTATGATGTTATTTTTACTACAAGGTACGTATTGTGTCGGAAAAAGTGGAGTTTGGGAGTCGGCCCAGTCTCTATTTCAATTAATCCCATATGTTCTGTTATTTCATTTACGCGGTTCTCGTTTTACGCGGACCTCCACGCGTTCAATTGACTGCGTAAGTGCAGACTATACTGTACTGTACCGTACCTCCTTGAATCCATGTCAGATTTTACAAGAGGCGTTTATCCTGAATAAAAGCGAGCTTAGATTGGGTGATTCCATTATCCTACCTCCTCACATTGGGTAACACCGAAGTCAGCTGGGATTGTGGGTTGGTCCCAGTGAAATGAGGTTTTACGATTTGAGTCAAATGAAGACCATGGAGTGCACAGCTAGTTAGGCATTAAGACTTAGCCCTTCAGCCTTTAGTGGCAGGTGATGTGTTTGATATTTCTGCTTGAACATTGTGATAGGAAAGATTGAACTGATTATTCGATTAATTTCAGCCACCATTGCCACCATTGTTAAGGACCTGGGTTATCAAAGAGTGGACTTTGGCAGAAAACATACATGTTGCCTAATCCAGACTTGGTTGTAAAATGGGATTTTAGGATCAATCCCCCATTTAAGTATATAGTACTGTCAAGGTTAGGCCACAAGTTTTATGTCTGATGCCAAGATGCCAAACATACCTCTTGATATAAATTTAGATTAATTGTTACATGAAAACAGAGATGATTATTTAGAAGCAATTAATAATTACTTGACATTGGTTCTTAGCACTTAGACTACTCTTTCCTTGGTCCAAAAAGATTATTTTACTGAGGTGTTACAAGGTTTTAACAATTTTAGGTGGTTATTTTTATTTATTTTAATGTTAAACGCCACAGTAAAGGAAAGTGTTGAAGAAAAAAATCTATTGAGAATGTCTTTGCTGGAATATAGATGTATTTTTTAGCGTTGTAGTTATGAAATCAGAGAAGGGATAATGTTCCTGATCTGTGTTGTTCCTAAGCTTTGATTTACTTTCAATTGGAGAGTGTTAGGATACTCACTTATGTATACTAACAAAACTTCCAACAGCAGCTCAAGGTGCCGGGTATGCTGGTGCTCCTCCTCAGCCTCAGTTCCCACCACCCCCTGGGACAGCTCCATCTATCCCCTCAGCACTGGACTTCAACCAACCTCCACCAGGCTTCCCTCCAGGTAGGCTGGATGCCAGTTGAGTGTGGTACATTCTTCTACTAGTATTTCTGAATTAGTAAGTTCTGTTTCATTTATCTTTGCTGGACCTCACAGTACACCAAAATGTGTCAAAGGGTTCACAAGTGAGCTGAAATGGCACAGAGAGAGCCATCCAAGTTAGTTGTAGGAGGGTTTAGTTTTAGGAGAACTTTTGGCACATGAGGCCAAGATGTAGGTTTTGTTCATATTTAATACAAATGTAATACTTTATATGCTGGTTAAGGATCTGGATTAAAAAAAAAAAAAAAAAAAATATACAGTATTACCCCGCTTAACGCGCTTTCACTTAACGCGTTTTCGCATATACGCGGTGCCTTGCCAAAGCTGAACTTTCACTTAACGCGGATTTTTCCACAGCAACGCGGTGAGTGTCCGGCTCGAGAGCTATTTTTAGATTCGCACCACCCCCCACCCGCCACCCTGCCTGACTGCCTGTTTTAGCTCATAAAATTCATACAAATTACCCAGCCAGAATATAGTTTACATTGCTGGAATTCTTATAATTTGGTGATCATTTTGAATATAAACAACATATTTTTTGCATTAAACATACAATTTTTAGATAAAATGTTTAATCTGAGTAAGTATGTTATCTTTTGTCCAAAATATATGACATTTATATTCAAAATATTCCTGGTCTTACAAGGAATCCAGCAATGTCAATTATATTATCCTAACTTTAGTTTGAGGTATTATTTATTAAAATTTAGTGGTTATCCCACACATCTCCTTGGGAGGTTGGTGGGGGGTGGGGGGAGGGTTGGGACTGACCGCGCGGTTGGAAGAGGGGGGGAGGCAAGGTGGGGTACTTTGATTGACAGATAGTGTTGAAGAATATATTTTTTTTTTTATTAACTGTAGATATTTGTTTTAGCTCATAAAATTCATACAAATTATCCGGCCAGAATATAATTTACATTGCTGGAATTCTTATAATTTGGTGATCATTTTGAATATAAACAACATATTTTTTGCATTAAACATACAATTTTTAGATAAAATGTTTAATCTGAGTAAGTATGTTATCTTTTGTGAAAAATATATGACATTTATATTCAAAATATTCCTGGTCTTACAAGGAATCCAGCAATGTCAATTATATTTTCCTAACTTTAGTTTGAGGTTATCCCACACATCTCCTTGGGACGGTTGGTGGGGGGTGGGGGGGGGGAGGGAGGGACCGACCGACCATCTGTTAGCTGGCTGTGTACTGTAGTGTGAGAGGGGGAGGGAGTTGAGTCCATTATTTGAATGGACATTAACTTGGCGACTGTATTTCTCTTAAGTATTAATTGTGTGCATGTACCATCATAAAATTAAGATGTTATTTTTACTACAACATAGTTATTTGTCGTCAAAAAGTGGAGTTTGGGGGTCGGGCTGGGTTCTATTGGAATTAATCCCATATGTTCTGTTATTCACTTAACGCGGTTTTCACTTAACGCGGGACCCTCTGGGTTCAATTGACCGCGTTAAGTGGGGTACCACTGTATATATATATATATATATATATATATATATATATATATATATATATATATATATATATATATATATATATATATATATATATATATATATATATATATATATATATATATATATATATATATATATATATATATATATATATATATATATATATATATATATATATATATATATATATATATATTTTTTTTTTTTTTTTTTTTTTTAAGTAATTAGTGTTAGTTAATGACCTTTAAAATAATTAAAAACATTACAATATTTGAAACATCAATTATCCTGTGCCCGTAAGTTTTAATCACCTTCATATACATTGTGGTTCATACAGTTTTTTCGGACATTTATTTAGCAAATCTACCTCCCAAACATTATCTTCCATTCATTAGTACATTATTATTTGCAGGTTTACCTCTTGTAGACTTCAGCAAGCCTCCTCCAGGATTCCCAGTGGAGGAACAGAAGGAAAATTTGGTGCCTACAGTACCCTATTATGAACTCCCTGCTGGGCTCATGGCACCTCTTGTGAAAATGGAGGATCACAAGTATAGGCCTTTGGACCAAAATGAGTTGAGACTTCCACCACCAACACCCCCAAGTGACAGGCTGCTGAGAGCAGTAGAAAACTTCTATGCTCCGCCCTCACATGAGAAGCCTCGTAATAGGTACTTGAGTTGCTTTACTGTAATACTGTATATGTATGTCCAGTATATGTAACATTTTGAAGTCTTAAGTCTTTTATCTAAATGGGTTAAATTTTATCAAATAGGTTAACATTTATTAATACTGGGGTATTTTTTATACGTACACTTAAAGTATAGTACAGTATTCTCATTGTCAGTCTCTTTTTTCCTGCATTACCGGTTTCTTTCTCTCTTTTTTTCTAGTGAGGGTTGGGAACAGTTGGCTTTGTATGATTACTACAAAGAAAAGAGTCAGTCAGTTAAACGCATCGAAAAAGAGATCAGTGAAGGAATTAGAGAGCGTTCACGATCTCCATCTCCTGTTGTGATTGAGCCGCCACCAGAGGAAGAGGAAAGACCATCTGATCAACCAGCCAGAAGATACAGGTAGGAAGGATTGTTGACTTTGTTGTTGTCTGGTGTCAACTATCAGGATGTGCTCCAACCCAACCCAACCCAACCCAATTTAACATCACTATGCAGTCACGATCTTATAAATGAAATTCGTCACCATATTTTAAAAATAAAGTGCAAGTCTTCTGCTGGAATTTTTACCCATTGTCAACTTTTAAGAATCAAATAGGTGACTATAGCCAGCTTTCTATTTCTTAGCTGTCTCTTAATTTATCTTCATCGTAAAACCATTAAGTACAGTAAAACCTCGATAAAACAGACTTTATTATATCGGAATTTGCTTTTTTCGGACTCTAGGGTGCTCTGGTCACCAGAAATATAGTTACTTTTCGTCACTTCTAATAAACATGAGAGAAAAAAATACACCAATACATTCACAACCTCCTCGCTCAAAATTGTCTGAATCAACTTTTTAAATAGTACTGTATACACTGCTAGGAGCAGAATTGTATGACCTTTCCAACACAGTTATCAGATTTCTGATATGACCAATAATTTTTGAGAAAAGAGCAACAAATTGATTCTCAAATGTTAAAAAAATTACACTTTCCCTGTAAATATGAAAAAAATATTACATTACACAACCATCACTTCACTTCTTTAACATAAAAAAAAAATATTTCAGGGAGTAGGGTAAACACTGTACTCCAGGAGTTGAGGCAGCCCGCACGTAGTTTTGGAAATTTAAATTGACTCGGCTCACAGTTACGGTCTGATTGCTGAGATAGTACTGCTCATTTATTGTTCCGGTCTTCCCTTCCTATGGGTCTTGAGAGTTGCCAATTAGTTTATTTAATAGAACTTATTTGTTACTATGACGGATCAAAATTTGATGCAATTCTGTTGAAAACTCAATTTTTGGTGAATTTTTTAAAGTTTGGTGATTCGATTTGTGTCACCGTGAAATTGGTCTTATCATGAATATGACGCAAATTGCACCATCATGCTCGAGAGGGTTAAGAAATCACAAATAAACAATATTTTGTCCAGTTACAGTAAGAATGATAGAGGCAGGGGTGAGCAGTCAGTTTCTCGCACTAACGCCCGTATTATTAAACAACATCTTCCCGTGAAGAGGGTCGTCGTGTTTCAGCCCGAGTTTTAAACTAAATGAGTCCTGAGGGACACCACAGTTCAGTACTTAACTGGGTGGCATAGCGGTAAAATTAACTAATTCCAATAAAATTTATTTAAAATATTAGAATTAGTTAATTTTACCGTCACACCGCACCATTAAGTACAGTACTGCAGTGTCCCTCTGGTCTCATTTAGTTTAAAACTCGGGTTGAAACATTTTATAAGGGAAAAACTTAGTCACTCTTAAGGACAGATAAATAAATAGGCACTAGACCGTGGCATCAACTGTCAAACATATCTCCTCCCTCCCCCCCCCATCTTCCCAGCCAGTAAACAGACCATTTTGCATTCCCTATATATTTGCTGTGTTGATTTATGAGTGTTTGTTTTAACATAATACGTACTACAAAAAACAATGTTTTGTTTATTCTAGGATATGGGCTAAGGTGCATCTGGGTAGACTCAGTCTTTTTAGTATTTTGTGTTTCTCTCAAGTACCAAACTAAATTATTCCATTTAAACAACACTTTGATTTAGTGGGAATTTGGTTTAAAGGAACCTCTCTTGGAACATATCTCGTGTTATGTCCATTTTCTACTGTACAGTGTAATTGTATTAAATGAAAATAGATAAACAATAATTCTCATTCTGCACTGATATTGACAAAATAGTTATGGTACCTATACCTGTACATAAATTGGTGATGTTCACCTGTAAAGAAGAAAACAATATCTGTACAGTAAATGAAATAATCAAATAAATATGCTTAGGAGGCATATTAAGGGTAAATAACAAGTGAAATATTACAGAAACACTTGAAATTCCTAGGAATACACCAAACTCCACGAGGACCAGATGTAAACAAAGGGTATGCTGAACCATGGATACTAGCGGCTGTCCGGTGGGTACTAGCGGCAGTCCAGCAAACTAAAATTTTTCCGGACGATGGTAGGTGCCGGACAATCGAGTACCGGATTAGGGAGGTTCAACCTGTATAATATAATACAAAACAACAAAGCCCAACCATTAATTAAGCAACGAGGAACTTTTACATTCATTCATTATTTTTACTTCGCACTATAGTAAACACACGGGCCTTGAGTTGCCAGCTGTCTCCAGCAGTGTTCGAAGAATCTTGAACGAGACTGTACCTTAACACTTTACTGCATGATGTGAAGTATGGCAGGTTACTGGCCAGCTAGTGAGTCAGTGTTGCTGTCCACGTAATGTTTTATGTATATTTGTAAATGGGATATGATTATCACCCAGAAATATACATTTATTTATTATTTTATGTTTTGAGCTTGCAGCATAACATATTTTCATCATACTATGTGCATTTTAAGTCACTGTGGTGAACATTAACTCAAAAAAATAACTTTCTTACCTCTAGTAAAGTATAATCACCCCACCATCAGAGAAAACTTTACCATGATGGTAAATTTTTTGGGGTAACTATGGAATACTGTACTTCAAAGCATTGACTGGCGAACTGATGCTGCTGTTAACGGCAGCAAACAATCAATGCAGCGACTGTACGGTATAGTATTAAGAACAAGAAAGAAGTTTTAAACTGATAAGTAGACAGCACCATACAGTACAGGTAAAACAAAGTAAATCTGGATGGAAAGATAAGGAAATAAAAACTTTTAATACATGAAAGATGATACTGAATGTAGGTCAGTAAATATAAGTAAAATTTTACTATTTTAACAGGTCAGAGAGTCCAGAAAAAATTGAAGAGAAGAAAAAATCGCACTCTCGCTCACGTTCACGCAGTCCGAGTCCCATTCGACGTAGTTTATCCCGGCAGAGATCCAGGACCCGCTCTCCATCATGGTGAGTTGTGATCTGTAGAACCTGGAGGTGTAGTACAGTACAGTAGTAAGTTGTTGTATCTACAGTATGTCTCTTATTACTTTAGTCTCAGAATGTATGTAAACTCCTCCACATATCACAGAAGTTTCAATTCAAATGGAGTACAGTATGAATATTGTAGATCTCTAAAAGCTGTACAGTACAGTAATCCCTTGCCAATCACATGGATTATGTTTTATAATTCTCTTATACACTGCAATAGTTGGGAAGACTGTGGTTGTCAATGACCGGGTCTAATTATGTTGAGTGAATTTCAGGATAGATTTTTATTTTTTTATATTTAGTGGGCTGACAGACAAAAAGTTATTACATCCATATTGTAGACATCTTATCTGCAGTATTCTCCAGGGACATAATGACTGTGAAAATTAAGAGTTTACAATGAAATTTATGGTTTTTATTTAAAATTTTTAAACTAAACCTACCTATTATAAATTGAGGGATGTATTTCTCTTGATCATACTGTACCACAATCTCTCACAATCATCAGTTATAAGTTTAGGTACAATTAATAGTCCTTGTTTTACACCCGACCATCTTCCTACAGTTCACCACCACCTAGATCTCACCGTCGATCACTTTCTAAGTCACCACGAAGGTCCAGCTCGAGGTCACCCAGAAGAAGCAGCAGGTCCAGGTCAAGGTCCAGGTCAGAATCACCTGGGACATCCCCTCCTCGTGTGCCATTCAACAGGTCCCCCTCTCGAAGTCCAACCCCACCATCATTCATGTAAGTGGAGTTGTCTATTAAAGTGAATATTTGTTTGTTTGTTATGTATTACATATTCATCAAGTCTATGTCCTTGATGGTATACTGTGCACTATGTCCATGTTTGTGTGCAGATGAACTTGCAGTAAGTTGGATTAATTTTTCAAGTCAAGGCTCCCGCCCCTATATTTTAATCCCATTGTTTAGTGTTTATTATTCAGATGATATATAGTATTTGTAAACCATAAAACCAGAATTATGCAATGAATGATATTAAGTTCTTTATTTGTCCATACATAAAAATTGTATTATCATATCCTGTATTTGTTTGTCAAGTTACATACTGTAGGCTTGAGAAAATGTCTAAAAGGATAATCCTGTTCCTCTGTTTCTAATTTATAAATATTTTGTGTAACGATTTATTTCAATCATGATTGTTTTTCACAGGGGCGGAAGTTTCTCCAAGATGGATCAGCGACTGGATGAAAGCAACAAGGGTCACCAGATGTTGCGAAAGATGGGATGGGGAGGTTCAGGTTTAGGGGTTAAAGAACAGGGCATCAGCGACCCTGTGGCAGCAGCAGAAGTACGGGACACACCTCAGGATAGGTTTAGGGGCCTGGGAGTCCCTAGTGCACAGACAGATCCATATGAGGCATTTAGGAAAAATAAGGGTCAAGCATTTATCAATCGAATGAAAGCGAGAGCTGAGGAAAAATTTTAGTCCACTTTATTTGCTTTATAAAATAATATTAGTGTTGCGGATGTGATTAATATTACCTGTGAGAGGAGAAAATGCATAGTAGATGATGCAATAATTGGATTTTCTTAACCTAAAATTTTCCCAACTGTTTATCACTTACTGTAAAAGAAGCTACAGTACTGTATAAAGTTAAATTTTTTTAATATCCTAAGGTGCTCTCAGTATTACTTATGCCATTGGTAATTTTTTATCCGTTGTGTACGAGTTAATTTAAACCCCAAGTTGGATATTTAATTCATTGTTTCAAATTATCTGGCAAAATTTTAAAAACTTTAATGATATTCTCTTCAAATTTGTTTTCTACCAGTGTTTTAAATTACAGTACAGTTTTAATATTATAGATGTGAGAATAATGAAAAGAAACCTTGATATTATTATTTTTTTTTTTTTAAGTCCTAGATGTACAGGCAGTCCTCATAGTACACACACCTGCTCTATGTATTTTTACACACACGAAATGCATAGAATAGTGAACACTTTTTTGTGACTACATATTTGTGGTGGTAAGTGTTATTTCCTGCTCTGCAGATTTCAGGTCATGTCCAAGCTACTTGAGACTGCACTATTACATCCAGTGAATCCAATGATTCTCTGCACAGGCATCAGGTCAGGGTTCTGTCATTTGTATTGTTGTTGTGTTGTGCATAGTTTAGAAAAGAAGATTGCATGGAAGCTACACCCATGTTCAGACCTTCCTGCTCTCACAGAGAGGACTTTTGGCTGACTTGTGTGCCAGTGTTCCTCCCTCAGTGAAGGTAGCCTATAAGAAGTTTCTGGAGAGTGATAACGAATATTGCAAGCGAGTCCAAATCAGTCTTTGCGATATATACAGTGAACCCTCACTTTACGCGGTTAATTCAACCCACGGTACCGCAGAAAGTGAGAAACGCGTAAAGTGAACAACATAACATATGGGATTAATTGAAATAGAGACTAGGCCGATCCCCAAACTCCACTTTTTCAGACACAATACCTACGTTGTAGTAAAAATAACTTCTTAATTTTATGATGGTATGCACACACAATTAATAATTAAGAGAAATATCAATAATATTAGGTTTTTTAACAGTTACATTAGGAGAAAAGATGGCTGGGCACACGGGGATGGGGGGTTGGTTCCGAGGCAGAGGGCAGATTATTGGCCCTCACCTGTATCACTTGTATCACTATCCACCACAGAGGCTTGCAGGGCCTCTTTGTCAAACCCCTCAAAGTCCATATAAGTCCATATCTTCACTATAATTATCACTATCACTGACTTGGGCTGGAGGGTTGACTGTAAATTTACTTTTTGTGTTGATTTTTATGGATATCTGATGAGTATTCATTTGAATATACATTTCGTGATGTTTTGTATTGGTTTATTGAGTTACAATGTCTTTTGTATTTAGTTTTGTTAGTTTGGGTTGCATTAAGTGTCTAAAAAACAGACCCAATAATGCTTAAAAAAGTAAAAAGCATTCGCATCACTTCCTCAGAATACTTCTCTTTCATATAGCTTAATGAGGACTCTGCCTGTACTTTATTATCCAAATTATGTTTTTTTGACATTAGAGGTTGGGAAGGTCATAAGGTAATTAAAATTCATATAAATTTTATTGTGAGCTAACTGTGTATTTGAAACCTTGCAGTTATTTAGTTGTTATACAACTTGTATAATGAAATTAACTACTGTGTGTTCTATTGAAATTTGGTTTGGAATACTGTAAGTCATAAGGTATTTTCCAGATTGGTGCAACATTATAATTACTGTAGAGAAATGGTTACAGCAGTTGGAAAGACTATTTGTAGTTGAACACATGTTAATATATTTCTGTATTATCTTAGAATAAGATAAAGTATTGTAGATGATTGGACTTGACAAGACATATATGCATTGAATATCAGACAAATGAACCTTGATCATCAGACCTTCAGCAATGACACAATATTAATTTAATAAACAAAGCTAAAAACTTTTGGAGTTTCGTTGGTGTTTATCAGATATGACTACTGTACTGTATTCAAAAGTTGTCCAGAGCATTGGTAAGAAAATTTGGATATACTGTATACTGTATAATATATGTGTATGTAATGATAATTAATGGTTTATTGAGATAACATGGCAGCCAAAAGGCTGAAAATATACAATAATCAGAGACGGAGAGGATAAGTTACATATGGTGAAATTGGGGAGTATGTTACTTGATTGGCAAAAGCCTTCAGTACAAAAAGATAAGAAACATGGAGTGAACTTAAAGATTAACTATAGATCTTGTTATGTGGGAGCTGGTCTTGCAAACAGTCTTGTGACTTTATCGTGGCACCAACTGCCTCCTTCCCACGGATTGGATGGTCTTCATATGTACTGAAGGTGCTAAGGGCTGCTCCCTCCTTGCAGCTGCAGATGTTTAGCACTTCCACAACATGGTCCTGGTAGGTCCTTCAGCTTACACAGTGTTGGAGAGGATTCATGTTGCAAATGTGAAGTAGTTATGACTATAGTTCCTCACCTGGGTGGAGTAGGGAGTCCTCATTTCTCTTATGATGTAGTTTGGAGTCTTTCTTGGTTTCTCATCCAGTATTGGTGAGTGTACAGCGGGCCTTGGGTGTGTGAGGTCCATGTCAGGTGAATATTGACCACTGATTGTCACTCTCTAACGTTTGTTTTTTCTTTTGAGTTGAAATTGTCACTTGTATATCAGTTGTGGGTTAATTGTCATTCTTTGCACTGTATTGTTGGTGGGAGGATATTGATAAATCCTGCTGGGGAGGAGGGGACATCTTCACTCCATGAGAGTTGAGATGTGTGTGTGTGTGTTCCAGTCCATAATAGATTTGGATAAAGGAAGGGAAATCAAAGAGAAGTACACCTATCTGGGTATACCAGCTGGCATTAAGAGGTTATTATAAAAGTGAAGGAACCTTACCATATACATCATTAATAGTACAAAAAAAATACCTCTAAATTACATTACTGTATATTTGTAACAATGAACAGAGTACGGTATAATGAGGAGAAAAGGGGAGGAGGAGGGTAGGGGTGAGGTGAGGAGGGGCAGGAGAAAGAGTGAAGTGGGAAGACAGAAAGGTGGAAAGAGAGAGAAGGAATACAGTGGAGGGAGGGGGGTGCAGTGCATAGAGAGAGAATGGTGTCCTGGTTGACGTCATCATCTGAGAGTGAGAAAGAGAGCTTTGATACTGATGACGTACGAGGATAATGTCCGTAATGAGACAGGTGCGAGAGTTCATTAAACTGGAAATTACAGCCTCCACCTGCCTTGAACTTTCTCAGGTGTCAAGCTTAAAACTTCATGTGTCCCTTGTTCATCTATCAAGTTCCATATAGCGTTATTTTTCTCGGATTTCTGGAGAATTAAATCATGACATAATGGTTAAGTCAAAAATATATTTGGGAAGAGAAAATGTATCCTGAAACTTGCAAGCAAACTATGGCAAGAAATAGTAGTGGATTCTCTTCCCTACAACTTAGAAACCTTCCATATCAAGATAGGTTAAAGAAACTAAACTTGCATTCCCTAGAAAGACGAAGAGTGCGGGGAGATATGATAGAAGTATTTAAGTGGGTGAAAGGAATCAATAAAGGCGATATAGATAAAGTTCTTATAATATCCGAGCAGGAGTGGACTCGTAGCAATGGATTTAAGTTGGATAAGTTTAGGTTTAGGAGGGAGATAGGAAGGAACTGGTTCACAAATAGGGTGGTGGACGAGTGGAACAAGCTTAGCAACTTTGTAGTAAGCGCTGGAAAGTTTTAAAAGGAGGCTAGATAGATTCATGGATGATAGAGTGTGGTAGTAACTCTTGACAGGAGCTGCCATGCACAGGCCAACTGGCCTATTGCAGACTCCTTAGTTTCTTATGTTCGTGTAACTGTCAAATTGTCGCTGACCAGCCGACCCCGCGGCGAGTTTCTCAGACCAAGCCTAGCTTTCAGACTGCGCGTTAATTGGCCGGTTTCCGCCTTCTACCTCAGCCAATCAGCAGCGCCCGCTCACTTCCGGCGGACTTGTAAAATACCCCCAGCCTCGCCGTGAAGAGGATTCTACTCGACGCTCTCAAACAGACAAGACCTCCTCTCAACAAGCTCCTCACCACACAGCAACTCCCTAGCACTGCATTGTACATATAATATATTTCATAGAAAACGCCATTGTGAGTTTCCCTTCTCACCTCCATCCTTAGTGCGAGATCTACATAGCCTACGCTACAAGATCCTGAGCCTTAACCCTTTGATTACGATGATTTAGTCATTAGACTACTACATATTATTTAACCCTTTGACGACTATGATTAACCCTTTATTGGTGATTTAATTTGGTGACCTGTTGCTAGTTAATTTCCAATTTTGAAAGAAAAGATGAGTTTCGTCCATAAGAACATTAAAATCACATGTTGAAGGATCTGTGGTGAAAAAGTTAAAATTCTGATAATTGTTCTAATTGGAGGAAAAATAATTAGTTTTGCAATGCAAATTACTTTCGGGTCCTGTGGTTTTTTGATGGCATTTTTTTTTCAGTAGATCACAATGTAAGGTAGACCCTAAGACGGTCCTTGTGGCACCCCATCCTGTAGTTTATCAGTCTTTGCCTTTTTCTTTTAGTCATTGTTTTATCAGTGATGTCATGAGCTTTGATTTACTGGCTTAATTTGGTTATGTTTATCTCATTAGTCACCCCTTAGAGAACAAATGTTTATGTGTCTGCAGTTGTTTCGTAGTTAAATTATTCTCTGATATCTTGGTGAGACAAAATCAATCAACTTCATTACACAAAATTGTATCACAGTTACCACTGATGTTACATACTGTTGCAGCAGCAGGTAAACAATAGTTAATCCATGTATTAGTCTCTTCTTCAGGTTCACACTGCAATATTTCATCAATATTGCAATATCAGGAGCCAACCACCCATTGCAAATGGATGTGTCTGACACAGGATCATCGAGTCTGGAGTCTGGCCGACCGTCTACTCCAGCTGATATCCTCCCAGGCTGACAGGGTTGACAAGGGGCTGTTGATGGGAGGGTGATATTGTGTGCTGCTGTCCACTGAGA